GACTCAGTGGTTGTTATTGGTGTTCCATTAGACGTCATGGTTGACCAAGTGGTTGTTATTGGTGTTCCATCAGATGTCATGGTTGATCCAATGTTTGTTATTGGTGTTCCATCAGATGTCATGGTTGACACAGTGGTTGTTATTGGTGTTCCATCAGACGTCATGGTTGACCTAGTGGTTGTTATTGGTGTTCCATCAGACGTCATTGTTGATCCACTGGTTGTTATTGGTGTTCCATCAGACGTCATTGTTGATCCACTGGTTGTTATTGGTGTTTCATCAGACCTCATTGTGGATCCAGTGGTTGTTATTGGTGTTCCATCAGAGGTCATGGTTGATCCAGTGGTTGTTATTGGTGATCCATCAGACGTCATGGTTGACCCAGTGGTTGTTATTGGTGTAACATCAGACGTCATGGTTGATCCAGTGGTTGTTATTGGTGTTCCATCAGACGTCATGGTTGATCCACTGGTTGTTATTGGCGTTCCATCAGACGTCATGATTGACTCAGTGGTTGTTATTGGTGTTCCATCAGACGTTATGTTTGACCCAGTGGTTGTTATTGGTGTTCCATCATATGTCATGGTTGACCCAGTGGTTGTTATTGGTGTTCCGTCAGACGTCATGGTTGATCCAGTGGTTGTTATTGGTGTTCCATCTTATGTCATGGTTGATCCACTGGTTGTTTTTGGTGTTCCATCAGACGTCTTGGTTGACTTATTAGTTGTAATTGGTGTTCCATCAGACGTCATGGTTTGTCATGGTTGACCCAGTGGTTGTTATTGGTGTTACATCAGACGTCATGGTTGATCCAGTGGTTGTTATTGGTGTTCCATCTTATGTCATGGTTGATCCACTGGTTGTTTTTGGTGTTCCATCAGACGTCTTGGTTGACTTATTAGTTGTAATTGGTGTTCCATCAGACGTCATGGTTTGTCATGGTTGACCCAGTGGTTGTTATTGGTGTTACATCAGACGTCATGGTTGATCCAGTGGTTGTTATTGGTGTTCCATCAGAGGTCATGGTTGATCCAGTGGTTGTTATTGGTGTTCCATCTTATGTCATGGTTGATCCACTGGTTGTTTTTGGTGTTCCATCAGATGTCATGGTTGACCCAGTGGTTGTGGTGTTCCGTCAGACGTCATGGTTGATCCAGTGGTTGTTATTGGTGTTCCATCATATGTCATGGTTGATCCACTGGTTGTTACTGGTGTTCCATCAGATGTCATGGTTGATCCACTGGTTGTTTTTGGTGTTCCATCAGATGTCATGGTTGACCCTGTGGTTGTTATTGGTGTTCCATCATATGTCATGGTTGACCCAGTGGTTGTTATTGGTGTTACATCAGACGTCATGGTTGATCCAGTGGTTGTTATTTGTGTTCCATCAGACGTCATGGATGACTCATTAGTTGTAATTGGTGTTCCATCAGAGGTCATGGTTGATCCAGTGGTTGTTATTGGTGTTCCATCATATGTCATGGTTGATCCACTGGTTGTTACTGGTGTTCCATCAGATGTCATGGTTGATCCAGTGGTTGTTATTGGTGATCCATCAGACGTCATGGTTGACCCAGTGGTTGTTATTGGTATTCCATCAGATGTCATGGTTGATCCACTGGTTGTTTTTGGTGTTCCATCAGACGTCTTGGTTGACTTATTAGTTGTAATTGGTGTTCCATCAGACGTCATGGTTGATCCAGTGGTTGTTATTGGTGATCCATCAGACGTCATGGTTGACCCAGTGGTTGTTATTGGTGTTACATCAGACGTCATGGTTGATCCAGTGGTTGTTATTTGTGTTCCATCAGACGTCATGGATGACTCATTAGTTGTAATTGGTGTTCCATCAGAGGTCATGGTTGATCCAGTGGTTGTTATTGGTGATCCATCAGACGTCATGGTTGACCCAGTGGTTGTTATTGGTATTCCATCAGATGTCATGGTTGATCCACTGGTTGTTTTTGGTGTTCCATCAGATGTCATGATTGACCCAGTGGTTGTTATTGGTGTTCCATCATATGTCATGGTTGATCCACTGGTTGTTATTGGCGTTCCATCAGACGTCATGATTGACTCAGTGGTTGTTATTGGTGTTCCATCAGACGTCATGGTTGATCCACTGGTTGTTATTGGTGTTCCATCAGACGTCTTGGTTGACTTATTAGTTGTAATTGGTGTTCCATCAGACGTCATGGTTGATCCAGTGGTTGTTATTGGTGTTCCATCAGACGTCATGGTTGACCCAGTGGTTGTTATTNATTATTGGTATTCCATCAGACGTCATGGTTGACCCAATGTTTGTTATGGTTGTTCCAACAGACGTCCTGGTTGATTCAGTGGTTGTTATTGGTGTTCCTTCAGATGTCATTGTCAATGCATCGGTTGTGTTTGATGTTCCATCAAATGTCGTTATTGTTGCAGAGTTTGTAACTGTTGTTCCATTATATGTCATTGTTGATGAAGAACTTGTAACTGTTGTTCTATCAGATGTCATTGGTGATGCAGAAGTTGTTACTTGTGTTCCATCAGATGTAACTGTTGATCCAGTGGTTGTTAAGGGTGTTGAATCAGACACAGCAGTCGTTAGCGGTGTTGCAGTGGTTGTAACTGGTGATCCAGCTGTCGTTAACGATGTTGCAGTGGTTGTAACTGGTGATCCAGCTGTCGTTAAGGGTGTCTCGGTGGTTATAACTGTTGATCCAGCTATCGTTAACGGTGTTGCAGTGGTTGTAACTGGTGATCCAGCTGTCGTAAGCGGTGGTTTAGAGGTTGTAACTGGTGATCCAGCAGTCGTGAGAGGTGGTTCAGTGGTTATAACTGGTGATCCAGCTGTCGTTAGCGGAGGTTCAGTGGTTGTAACTGGTGATCCAGCTGTCGTTAGCGGAGGTTCAGTGGTTGTAACTGGTGATCCAGCAGTCGTTAAGGGTGTTTCAGAGGTTGTAACTGGTGATCCAGCAGTCGTGAGAGGTGGTTCAGTGGTTATAACTGGTGATCCAGCTGTCGTTAGCGGAGGTTCAGTGGTTGTAACTGGTGATCCAGCAGTCGTAAGCGGTGCTTCAGAGGTTGTAACTGGTGATCCAGCAGTCGTAAGCGGTGCTTCAGAGGTTGTAACTGGTGATCCAGCTGTCGTAAGCGGTGGTTTAGTGGTTGTAACTGGTGATCCAGCAGTCGTAAGCGGTGGTTTAGTGGTTGTAACTGGTGATCCAGCTGTCGTTAAGGGAGTTTCAGTGGTTAAAGCTGTTGATCCAGCTGTCGTTAGCGGTGCTTCAGAGGTTGTAACTGGTGATCCAGCAGTCCTAAGCGGTGCTTCAGAGGTTGTAACTGGTGATCCAGCAGTCGTAAGCGGTGGTTTAGTGGTTGTAACTGGTGATCCAGCTGTCGTTATCGGTGTTTCAGTGGTTGTAACTGGTGATCCAGCAGTCGTTAAGGGTGTTTCATAAGTTATAACTGTTGATCCAGCTGTCGTTAGCAGTGTTTCCGTGGTTGTAACTGGTGATCCAGATGTCGCTGTCGCTGTTTCAGTTGTTGTAACTGGTGATCCAGCAGTCGTTATTGGTGTTTCAGTGGTTGTAACTGGTGATCCAGCAGTCGTTAAGGGTGTTTCATTGGTTATAACTGTTGATCCAGCTGTCGTTAGCGGTGTTTCAGTGGTTGTAACTGGTGATCCAGATGTCGCTGTCGCTGTTTCAGTTGTTGTAACTGGTGATCCAGCAGTCGTTAGTGGTGTTTCAGTGGTTGTAACTGGTGATCCAGCAGTCGTTAAGGGTGTTTCATTGGTTATAGCTGTTGATCCAGCTGTCGTTAGCGGTGTTTCAGTGGTTTTAACTGGTGATCCAGATGTCGTTAGTGGTGTTTCAGTTGTTGTAACTGGTGATCCAGCTGTCGTTAGCGGTGGTTCAGTGGTTGTTACTGGTGACACAGCAGTCATAAGCGGTGTTTCAGTGGTTGTAACTGATCTAGCTGTCGTTAGTGGTGTTTCGGTGGTTGTGACTGGTGTTCCAACACTCGTCAGCGGTGTTCCAGCAGTGGTAAGAGATGTTCCATTAGTTGTTAATGGGTTTTCCGAGGTTGCGACAGATAAACCAGATATTGTTTCAGATGGTACGACCGTGGTGGTTGTGATGGATGTTGTAGCGGAAGTTCCAGATGTTTCACCGGGTGTAACAGATGTTCCAGATGTTTCACCGGGTGTAACAGATGTTCCAGCAGCAGAAGTTGTTACAGTGTATAATTCAGATCCAGTTGTAAATTGTCTGTTTAAGAAAGAAATAGAAACAATATGATGATTAAAATTTACCCGTGAGTTTGATTTAAGTCAATTTTAAACCAATTAGGTAGGTTGGCACTACTGAAGCAGACTTTAAGGCACAGGCGCCGTCCTTTTCGATTGTTTATTTTCACTTCCCTACAGGTAGTTTATTTTTGAACTAGTTTGTTAATTTGCAAATCGAAAGGTTTAATAAAACAAGGCAAAAAACAGTTGATCTTGTGAATAGATGTATCCGGTAATATTAGCGTTCCGGCTAAGCTTGAGGGATGAAGCAAAGGATGAACTAGCTTTTATTAACAATCAAACTTCTTTATTTTGAAAAGGTGTGAAACTATATTAGATTTTATTGGAAATATGGGAATTAAATGGGATGCGGATGGGAACGTACGGAAGTGTCCTTGGTCAGGTGTTAGAGGACAACTGACTTACGTTTGTCTTTGTCTTAAGGATTGAATTAGTTACTGAAATCTATAAAAACATACAAATGTAATTCATATAAAATAATCAGTTTAATGCTACCCTAGCTGTTGTAGTTTCTAATTTGTTAAACTTGATAGACGTCATTGACATCTTAAACTCTATTCCGCCGAAATTTAAACAAGCAAATCGTACTACATATGTAATCTTTCACAAATAACATAATTAAGTAATTAATGGAAATAGTTCTTCAATTTAGTTGTCCTCCATTTAAAAAAAATGATACTTTTTAAAATTTAAAATTTAAAAAATTCAACAAAATATTTCTTAGAACGAAATTGACACTTAGAATGGTGAACAATGTGATTCAAATTGTCAACCCTATAGTTAAATGTCTGTATTTAACAAGATAAAAATACAAATAAAAGCAAACAAATAAAAAAATGACAGATAGCAAAATAGTGGTCAGAACCAAGATGCATTACAGAACGAGCTTGATCCATAATTCAGAAACCAAGACATAGTCACAGTCGCAAGCTACTGGTTTTACTAACAATTTACAGGTAATCCGGATTAACACCCGTGGCTTGTGGCAATGAGACACATTGCGGTGTCTTGTCTCAAGATGAAAAAGCACGACATATATAGTCATCCTTACCGTATCTCTCCCCCACCAAATCATAATTGATTAATTAATTCGTCAGATCAAACAAAATCATCAGACCATTAATTGATTAACTCCCCGATCGATTTATTGATTGATTGATGGGGAGTTAGGACGTCCTTGTTCCTGTTATTATCGAGCAATTTCGCCTTTTAGTATTGTACAGGACCAGTGATCAACTAAACATATTCATATACATTGTATAATGACATCAACAAAGCCGCACCCATATAGCCAGCCCTGGATTTAACACCTAGGAGGTTCGCGTATTTAAACATCATCATATTTCACCATCACTTTACAAATCAATGATAAGACCTCATCCGAAATCTTTTCTTTATGGCACAGGGGCTCCATCAATGGTGATGATTATGCCCTCGGGGTCCTATCACAGAGGCGTGAAAAAAAGGGGTTATTTACAGTAACCGAATATAACACTCATTGTACATTCGATCTCATAGCGCAACGACTCTTTCTTTGAGCAGAAATGTACTTCTGAAACAACAGTGCTTATGCCATACCGTGGCGTCCATCGTCCGTCGTCCGTACGTCAACAATTTCTTTAAACGACTTCTTCTTAACCACTGATTGGAATTCAACTAAATTTGACTTGAAGCATCCCTAGGTGGTGGTGATTCAAAATTGTACAAATGGTGGGGCTGACCCCCAGGGGGCTGAAGGGCGGGGCCAAAAGGGGGCAATTTGGCTATATTGCTTAAGCGACTTCTTCTCTGGAACTAAGAAGTGGATATCAACCATATTTGACTGGATGCATCCCTAGGTAGTAGAGATTCAAAATTGTACATATGGTGGGGCTGACCCCCAGGGGGCTGAGGGGCAGGGCCAAAAGGGGGCAATTTGGCTATATTGCTATAAACGACTTCTTCTGTAGAACTATGCCATGGATATCGATCATATTTGGTTGGAAACATTCATTGGAGGCAGGGATTCGAAATTGTACAAACGGTGGGGGTAACCCCCCGGGCTAATGGGTAGGGCCAAAAAAAGTGTAATACTTGGAAATGGTTGAGATCCCCACCATATAACCATATATACAATTGCTGAGTATAAAGAGAAGAATGCACATTTGCTTCCAGGATGGCCCTAGGATCTGGCCCCACCCTTGGAGACATAGTCCCTGGGTCATAACTTTGAAATGGTTGAGATCCCCACACCAAAACTATATATACAAATGCTTGGCATAAAGAGACGAATGTAGTCATGATATTAGAATACACCCTGTGGACATAGTTTCTTAGTCACAGCTTGGAACCAGTTGAGATCCCCACCCTATAACCATATATACAATTGCTGAGTATAAAGAGATGAATGCACATATGCTTCCAGGATGGCATTGGGGTCTGACCCACCCTTGCAGACTTAAACCCTGTGTCATAACTTCGAAATGGTTATGACCCCCACCCTAAAACTATATATACAATTGTTGGGCATAAAGAGACGAATTCAGTCATGATACTAGAATTGACCCAAGGGTCTGCCCCACCCTTGGAGACTTAACCCCTGGGTCATAACTTTGAAATGGTTTATATCCCCACCCTGAAACTATATATACAAATGCTGGGCAAAAAGAGACAAATGCAGTCATGTTATTATTATAATTGATCCTGTGGTCTGGCCACAACCCTAGGGACCTAGTTTCTGAGTCACAGCTTGGAAACAGTTGAGATCCCCACCCCATCACCATACATAAAATTGCTGAGCATAAACAGTCTAATACAGATATGCTACAAGGATTGGTCTTGGGGTCTGGCATATTCCCTTGGATCTCATTTGGAAAATATTTTGCCATGATTGCTTAGATATCCAGGTGAGCGATACAGGCCCTCTGGGCCTCTTGTTTACAATTTCACCAAATGTGAAACTAGGTCTGCGATATCGCTTTATGTACAGGAGGGAACATGGTGGCATATTATAATTCTTTGAAACCATAGAGCCGACACTAACCACAAGACAAAAGCTCTTCAAAGAGTAGTGTTGATGACGAACATCAGTAACCTGGACACGTAAGTGTTATACTTACGTTGTTGAAGCACTTGCTACGTTAAAAGTCCAACCTGAAAAAGAAACACATTTTATGACAGTAATTTTTAAAGTTGTTATCCCCATTCCCCGTCATCCGTAACCAAGATATCCCGCATCCACGCCGTCCCTCCCCCGCCATTCCACCATCTCAGCACAATCCCTGGTGATCTCATTCCCCTATTTCCATAATTATACTTGCACATGTATTCCTACATACCCCGTCGCCCTCATATATCCTGTTCCCAATACAACTCCAATCCAAGTATTCCCCGTCCAACACAACCCCCTCCGATACCCTATCATCACAGTGACCATGTCCCCTCCCTCCACGTGCCCCCCTCCACGTGCCCCGTTCTCGTGGTGTAGGGCGCTGTTAAATTAGACATTTCCTTAGCTTCCAAAGTCACAAATTAAGTTATACACGTTACTGTAAAAAAGACTTTTATGACAGAACAAAAGCATTTTTTTTGGAAAATTGTTTCCAAATCCATTCCTTAAAAAAATCAAGCAAACATTCAGATTTCTCCTTTTTTGTAAGCTCATTAATTGATTTTAAATACATCTTATCTAAGAAAACAAAGAGTAAAAAACGACATTATCTAATATCAAATCTGAGGTGAGGTATAGTGGATCCCGAGTTATCATTATCAATATACGATGTCCGATAAGTGTGCCTAAATCCATATCTACTAAAATGCTGCAGCCGGTTTATTCTAGGAAAAACGTTAGTGTTAAATCGAAACAAAACGTTATAATTCAAAAATATGTAAAATAGCATACTTACCAATTGAAAGTATAAGCCAACCAAGACATGTACAACGATAATGAAACATCTTTTATCAACCATTAATGTTTTGTGTGGTGTTAGCCGCGAATACACCCATCCCTGTTTAGGTACATGTCATTATGAGGCCAAGCCATTAAACTCTCTGTTGATATCAAAACCAATGACTTGTGATAGATCAATTACTTAATCTGAAGGGATCACTGTGTGTAATTGTATCTACATTAGTATACATTCATAAAATATGAGCTAATTGTATAATCCATTTTCTTCAGGGGATTTTGAGGAAGAAAACAGAGAAATCTGCCTTGAATACAATTCCAAGTCATATTTATCTACTATCTCGCGCCTCGGAGATCCCATGCACGCATGCTGGATATCTGGATACCTGTATGCATCAAATAAATTCAGTCGGTAATCGGTATGATGACCAATTGGTTACAACACCGGTATAGTTTGGTTTGTTGCTTGTGTTTTACGTCCCATTAAAAGTAATGGTCATTTAAGGACGTGCCAGGTTTAGATGGTGGAGGAAAGCCGGATTTCCCGGAGAAAAACAACCGATAGACGGCCAGTGCCTGGCGACTGCCCCACGTAGGTCTCGAACCCGCGACCCAGTGGTGTAGGGCTAGTGGTAGCAGAATGTCAGACGCCTTAACCACTTGGCAACCGCGGCCCCCACACCTGTATGGAGTGATCAGGGCTGAGTTAACATCATCATCAAGGTCAACAGTTCATTGTCAGTTTCAGAAGGTTAGGTGAATATCATCAGGTTAAAGGGGCCGGCAATGGAACAAAAAAGAAGATCAAATGAGGGTAATTTGATTAAAACGAGATCTAAGGGATCATCATTATAGGTAGAAGATCCTCATCAGATCAAAGGATCACTATCAGTGTCGGATGATAGATGATTGTGATTTTCGGTCAACATCAAGGTCAGTGAATCATCATCAAGGCCGGCGGGATCGCCATTATAACTAGGGAATCATGATTTGTGGCTTGGCCTTATCACCAAGTTCAGTGGATTAAAATTTCAAATCGACAGCTATGAATGAAAGGGATTAATTGATTATCAAACACAGAATCATTTGTTAGTGTTCTGCCATATAACAGTCGTATTGATTGAAAATTCTGGCCCAAATGTCAAATAGAGACAGGACCCATATATAAACAACAAACAGCATCAATACCCGTCGTGTGGGTAACGTTAAAGGCGTATTGTCCCGGATATCGTAAACGTGTTTAACATAGAATGTGCTTTCAAGCGATGTAGAGGCTTCAATCTTCATTCTATGCATCAGATAAATTCGCCATAAATATGCAGCTTGTAGAATATCATTAATATAGCTTTGTATTTTCCTTTCTGTTCGTATCAAGCATTTCCGCATATGCAGATAAACGTTTTAGAAACGTCCAAACAAGCGCGAAGCTAGACTCGCAAGGGGAAGGGATGTTGAGACCCTGTCACTGTGGTACTATCCGGTGGCTTTTGAGAACATTGTTTAATGTTTCGTTTTTATTTGTTTGTGTTTGTATTTTACTTTTTATCAGAAAAGCTGATTTTATATCGATATGACAGAAATTGTCTTAAGTATTGTCTTCAAAAAACATGAAAAGAATTTGCGTACCTAGAACATAACTTAACTATTGCCATAGAACATAGAGTACGATTTATGAACACTTTTACTTGCTAAATAGTATCAATCAGAACTACACAATCGCCCTAGACACATGTTTCGAGGAGATATTGTAAAGCTATTAAATGTTTAAGTGTATTTGAGGATTTGCTTACAAGGCAAGCAGAGTTTAATGACCGCGGGGCCCGTGTCCCCTTAACTGAAGCTGTGTGGCTGCCGGTGTTGATGATTGACTCGGTGGGGTTGCTGTGTGTACACACCGGCTACGTGTTAGTATAAATAGTATGTCCATTACGGTAACTGGTGGTGACCAATGGTGTGGTATGTCGAACAAAAAGGACGTCACGTCCTAGGTGTGAAATTATTTTCCAAGCCTCTGACTATTATTGAACAAGCGTGCTTACCTATAACCTCTTAATAGAATATAGATTTGAAAGAGAATGAAACGTTGGAATCAAAAAAGATATATATGGTGTTTTTCTCTCCCATAATATCCCCGATGTGAGGTAGTTGGAACAATATCTTGATAGAAATGGATTAATTGGAAATAATGCATTAATTTATTGAACAACAATTGATATCGAACACAATCTATAGCTAGAGTAAATCACGCTTAGACGCTTTACAATACACCTAAACAATGTAGCACCCGCCAGCATATCGCAAACATTGTAGTACCCGCCACCATATCCCCTTCCTAAACATTGTAGCACCCACCAGCATATCACAAACAATGTAGTACCCGCCAGCATATCACAAACTTTGTGGCCCCCGCAAACATATCCTCTACCCAAATAATGTAGCCCCCGCCAGCATATCACAAACCCTGTAGCACCCGCCAGCATATCCCCTATACCTTAATAATGTAACATCCACCAGCATATCCCCTATACCTAAACCATGTAGCACCCACAAGCATATCCCCTATACCTAAACCATGTAGCACCCACAAGCATATCCCCTATACCTAAACAATGCAGCACCCACCAGCATATCCCCTATGCCTGAACAATGTAGCACCCCCCAGCATATCACAAACAATGTAGCACCCGCCAGCATATCGCAAACATTGTAGTACCCGCCACCATATCCCCTTCCTAAACATTGTAGCACCCACCAGCATATCACAAACAATGTAGCCCCCACCAGCATATCCCCTATACCTAAACAATGTAGCACCCACCAGCATATCCCCTATACCTTAATAATGTAGCATCCACCAGCATATCCCCTATACCTAAACAATGTAGCACCCACCAGCATATCCCCTATACCTGAACAATGTAGCACCCACCAGCATATCCCCTATACATAAACAATGTAGCACCCGCCAGCATATCCCTTGCTTAAACATTGTGGTACTCGCCAGCATATCCCTTACTTAAACAGTGTGGTACTCGCCAGCATATTCCTTACTTAAACATTGTGGTACTCGCCAGCATATCCCTTACCTAAACATTGTGGTACCCGCCAGCATATCCCATTTCTAAACAAAGTGGCACCCTCCAGCATATCCCCTTAACGTAAACAATGTAGCACCCGCCAGCATATCACCTACCTAAACAATGTGGCACCTACCAGCAAATCCAATATCTAAACAATGTAGCACCCACCAGCATATCACAAACATGGTGGTACCCGCCAGCATATCCCTTATACATGTACCTAAACAATGTAGCACCCACCAGCATATCACAAACATCGTGGTACCCGCCAGCATATCCCTTATACATAAACAATGTAATGCACCCACCAGCATATCACAAACATCGTGGTACCCGCCAGCATATCCCTTAAACTTTAACAATGTAGCACCCGCCAGCATATCCTCTACCTAAACATTGTGGTAAACGCCAGCGTATCCTCTATCTAAACAATGTGGCACCCGTCAGCATATCCCTTATACCTAAACAATGTACTGTAGCACCCGCCAGCATATCACAAGCATTGATGTACCCGTCAGCATATCCCCTATCTAAACATTGTGGTACCCGTCAGCATATCCTCTACCTAAACATTGTGGTACCCGCCAGCGTATCCTCTATCTAGACAATGTGGCACCCGCCAGCATATCCCCTACCTAAACAATATAGCACCCGCCAGCATATCACAAACATTGATGTACCCGTCAGCATATCCCCTATCTAAACATTGTGGTACTCGCCAGCGTATCCTCTATCTAAACAATGTAGCACCCGCCAGTATATCTCTTACTTAAACATTGTGGTACCCGCCAGCGTATCCTCTATCTAAACAATGTAGCACCCGCCAGCATATCACAAATTTTGTGGTACCCGTAGCATATCCCCTACCTAAACAGTGTGGTACCCGTCAGCGTATCCTCTATCTAAACAATGTGGCACCCGCCAGCATATCCGCTATCTAAACAATGTGGCACCCGCCAGCATATCCCCAGTCTAAATAATGTAGCACCCGCCAGCATATCACAAACACTGAGGTACCCGTCAGCGTATCCTCTATCTAAACAATGTGGCACCCGCCAGCATATCCCCTGTCTAAATAATGTAGCACCCGCCAGCATACATTTGTATCCCCTACCTAAACAATGTGGCACCTACCAGCATATCACAAACAATGTAGCACCCACCAGCATATCCCCTATACCTTAACAATGTAGCACCCACCAGCATATCACAAACATCGTGGTACCCGCCAGCATATTCCCTATACCTCAACAATGTACATGTAGCACCCATCAGCATATCCCTTATACGTTAACAATGTAGCACCCGCTAGTATATCCCTTACTTAAACATGGTGGTACTCGCCAGCATATCCCTTGCTTAAACATTGTGGTACTCGCCAGCATATCCCCTACCTAAACATTGTGGTACCCGCCAGCAAATCCCATATCTAAACAATGTGGCACCCCCAGCATATCCCCTATAAGTTAACAATGTGGCATCCGCCAGCATACATTTGTATCCCCTACCTAAACAATGTGGCACCTACCAAGCAAATCCAATGTCTAAACAATGTAGCACCCGCCAGCAGATCACAAACATTGTGGCACCCGCAAACATACCCTCTACCCAAATAATGTAGCCCCCGCCAGCATACCCCCTGTCTAAATAATGTGGCACCCGCCAGCATATCACCTACCTAAAGAATGTGGCACCCGCCAGCATATCCCCTGTCTAAATAATGTGGCACCCGCCAGCAAATCCAATGTCTAAACAATGTAGCACCCGCCAGCATATCACAAACATTGTGGCACCCGCAAACATATCCTCTACCCAAATAATGTAGCACCCGCCAGCATATACCCTACCTAAACATTGTGGTACCCTCCAGCATATCCCTACCTAAACATTGTGGTACCCGCCAGCATATCCCTACCTAAGCATGTGGTACCCGCCAGCATATCCCTACCTAAACATTGTGGAACTCGCCAGCATACCCCCTACCTTAACATTGTGGTACCCGCCAGCATATTCCCTACCTAAACATTGTGGTACCCGCCAGCATACCCCCTACCTTAACATTGTGGAACTCGCCAGCATACCCCCTTCCTTAACATTGTGGTATAACGTACCTGCCAGCAGTTTCCCTACCTTAGCTTTCCAATGTATTCTTGGAAATTACCGGTTTTCTTATTCGCTATCCTGACGTTTTCAGGCATCTGTAGTTCAAACGGTTTATAATTTACTTGTATAAATTAGTTCCATACGTATAGAATGGATGTTGACGCTGGTGCCTAGAAAGGTAATAAACGAGTACATGAACACTTATTCAATACACAGTGTGACTATTCGTATAGATGGTCCATTGAGATATTTCTCAGTATGGAAGATTAAAATATTGTCCCGTATATATGTTGCTACAACAACGTGTATACCGCTGTCGCACGGTGCGTTCAATGGCCGCTGCCGTTATATGTTTCCGCTGCCAGTTTATTTTGATAGCACAGTGTGGTTGTGTAGTCTGGCTGTATTTTATCGTTTCAATATTGAAAACATGAATAAATCTTCAATATTATTTTAATAATTTGTTAAATATATAACACTGTACATGTACCAACAAATAGGTGTGAGATAGCGCGACCCTTTATAGGTATACGTAAACACAATGTAGTCTGGTTTGTTCAGTCAGTGTCAACACAGGGACGTCTATCGCGCATCAATTATTAATTCATCAATAGAAATTGTCTCTTACCTCAGGCTATAAAGCTTCACAGAAAAAATAACACACACCAGTTATATTGGAGCTTTTTATAATCCAAATATATTAAAAATACGAATCATTTGAAATACTTTCTCTATGGCAAAACATGTTATATTACTTTTAAAAGAAAGTATTTACCATGGCATATATCCCTGTTAAGATATAACCCTACATTGAACAATGAATAGCAGTAAAGTTTGATAACCTACCAATGGATATGCAGTAAAGCCTGATAACCCACTAACGGATATATACGTAAAGCTTGATAACCCACTAATGAATAAACAGTAAAGATTGGTAATCCTCTAATATTTTTTACAGTACAGATTAATAACCCATTAATGAATATACAGTAAAGATTGGTAACCCTCAAATTAATATACAGTAAAGCTTGATAACCCACTAACGGATATATACGTAAAGCTTGATAACCCACTAATGAATAAACAGTAAAGATTGGTAACCCACTAATATTTTTTACAGTACAGATTAATAACCCATTAATGAATATACAGTAAAGATTGGTAACCCACTAATATTTATTACAGTACAGATTAATAACCCATTAATGAATATACAGTAAAGATTGGTAACCCTCAAATTAATACTGTATACAGTAAAGATTGGTAACCCACTTATTAATAACAGTAAAGCTTGCTAACCCACTAATGGATATGCAGTAAAGCTTGATAACCCACTAACGGATATATACGTAAAGCTTAATAACCCAAAAATGAATATACAGTAAAGATTGGTAACCCACTAATATTTTTTACAGCACAGATTAATAACTACTATTGAATATACAGTAAAGATCGGTAAACCACTAATAAATATATAGTAAAGATTAGTAACCCACTAATTAATAACAGTAAAGCTTGATAACCCACTAATGAGTATACAGTCAAGATTGGTAGCCCACTAATTAATAACAGTAAAGCTTGATAACCCACTAATGAATATACAGTAAAGATTGGTAACCCACTAATTAATAACAGTAAATATTGGTAACCCACTAATGAATACATAGTAAAGATTGGTTACCCATAAATAATAACAGTAACGCTTGATAACCTACTAATGAATATACAGTAAAGATTGATAACCCACTAATTAATATACAGTAAAGCTTGATAACCCACTAATGAATATACAGTAAGGCTTGATAACTTACTAATGAATATTCAGCAAAGATTGATATCCCATTAATGAATATACAGTAAGGCTTGATAACCCACTAATTAATATACAGTAAAGCTTGATAACCCACTAATGAATATACAGTAAGGCTTGATAACCTACTAATGGATAATAGTAAGGCTTGATATCCCACTAATGAATATACAGTAAAGCTTGATAACCTACTAATCAATAGCAGTAAAGCTTGATAACCTACTAATGGATAATAGTAAGGCTTAATAACCTACTAATGAATATACAGTAAGGCTTGATAACCTACTAATGGATAATAGTAAGGCTTAATAACCTACTAATGAATATACAGTAAGGCTTGATAACCCACTAATTAATATACAGTAAAGCTTGATAACCCACTAATGAATATACAGTAAGGCTTGATTACATACTAATGAATATACAGTTAAGCTTGATAACCCACTAATTAATATACAGTAAAGCTTGATAACCCACTAATGAATATACAGTAAAGCTTGATAACCTACTAATGAGTATACAGTAAAGATTGATATCCCACTAATGAATATACAGTAAAGATTGATATCCCACTAATGAATATACAGTAAGGCTTGATTACATACTAATGAATATACAGTTAAGCTTGATAACCCACTAATGAATATACAGTAAAGCTTGATAACCCACTAATGAATATACAGTAAGGCTTGATAAGCAACTAATGAGTAACAGTAAAGCTTGATAAACTACTAATGAATATACAGTACAGATTGATATCCCATTAATGAATATACAGTAAGGCTTGATAACCTACAAATGGATAACAGTAAAGCTTGATAACCTACTAATGGATAACAGTAAAGCTTGATAACCTACTAATGGATAATAGTAAGGCTTAATAACCTACTAATGAATATACAGTAAGGCTTGATAACCCACTAATTAATAACAGTAAAGCTTGATAACCCACTAATGAATATATAGTAAGGCTTGATAACCCACTAATGAATATACAGTAAGGCTTGATAACTCACTTATGAATAACAGTAAAGCTTGATAACCTACTAATGGATAACAGTAAAGCTTGATTACCTACTAATGGATAA